AGGGGAACACTGCAAATCAGGAACAATAAAGGGAGCAGGATTTCCCTGGCAGCGCTACATTTCATATGTCGAAACGACAAGTGCTGGCAGGCCTCCAGCTGTACTGCAGCAATCCGGTGACAGTGATACTGTTGCAGTGTGTAAATAAAATTGTTTTGAAAGTGAAGTAATCTATTGTTAAACAAGAAAAATTTAAAAACTGGGGAATATAAACGAAACAGTTTGTATTTTTCCAAGCTCGACAAATTTAGTATTGTGACAGGTCGGCTTGTTATTACGGAAATACACTAAAATCATTAACCTTATTAAGCACAGTCTAGTCTTCAGAGGCTTCTGAGTGACTGCGGTGGCATCCTCCAAGAAGCTGCTCTCTTCTCTTGCCTGCTCTTCCTCACAGTCTGTCCCAGAAGAGCTTCTTTCTCTCAGGAGATCACAAGAGCTAAATCCCTTTTTGTAGCTCCAAGGCCCACATCATTCAAAAGGTCAAGGCCAAATTTCTTTTTTTCCCCTCACAAGCTCGCAGACTTTGCGGTCCTTCTGGTTGCTGAGGGCTTATCTTCGTTGCAGCCAGGAATTGATACTACCCCATAGTGGGCATATCCAAGCCAGCTTTAATCCAAGTGATTCAGACAGCGGCACTGACAGCAGTGCCATGGGATTTGAACTCTCTTGCACACCCTAGGGACCTACCTGTTAGCTAGATGACTCTGACGCCCAGACGCTTTCATCTTCGCTGCCGTGTGTCCCCAGCTAGCTCGTTAGGTTTCTCATGCTGTGCTTTCGTATGCCATGCCCCTTCTTGCTGAAGCTTAGCCTTACTGCAAGCACTTCTGCACAGAAGATGGTTTAGCAGGAAGGTTCGTTTTCTTTCTCAGGTCTCCCCAAGTCAGAGTTATTACCTCCAAAGCGGGATAGTATCTTCAAATCGTAATGTAATATATAAAGTGTGTGCGTATTTTAAAAAAGTTTTTAATTGTATTATGGTTAAGAACACTCGTTAAGCAAACCAACTAATAAAGCCTAGGTAAAGCTGTGGAGCTCCTGTGTATGAATATGTCCACACAGAGAGCGTTTGCTCCTCAGTAGATAAGAGGAGAGCGTTAGAGGAAGAGGCTCTTAATCAAAATAGCCAGACCACCATCCCGTAAGTCAACAAAGCAGTTTGCGGTGTTGGACATTTTGTAATACGCCTGGCTACTGCATTGCTGAAATAAACACAGAAGACATCAGTGTTTTAAGTGGCACTGGTGTTCACATCATGATTGTGAAATGTAAAATAGGCATCCGCTGTTATTATTTTAATTTTGTATTTTTCTTGGCTATAGATATAATGATGTGTTTTTTTCCAAGGTGGTCCAGGAAGAAATCCCAATTCCTTCAAGTTTTGTGAAGCTGAGTTATCTCAGCAGTCGAACACCAGGGTATAAAACTTTGCTGCGCATTATTTTGACACACACAACCATCCCTTCTGGAATGACAAAAGTCCATCTGATAGTTGCTGTTGAAGGACGTCTGCTTCAGAAATGGTTTCCTGCTGCGGCCAATTTGGTCTACACCTTTGCCTGGAATAAGACAGATATATATGGACAGAAGGTTTCTGGTCTGGCCGAGGCGATGGGTATGTAGAATTACCTTGATGCAAGCAGAAATGCTTACACACATCAAACCAGGACAATACGGCTTATAAATTTTGTTGCTGCACTTACATTCTTTTAAATCAAATGCCTCTTTAGCTAAAGTGACTCGTATGATTTCGTAAGAACATTTATTTTCTTGTTCTTCCAATGTCATCTTTCTAATTTAATCAATTTGAAAATCCCCTTTTCCCTCGGAGAATGGTTATGTACTAACGGCATTATATTCAGCTGTCTTTGATTTTGAATGTTACTTTGAATATGACCTTTGGTGTGTCATTGTTTCTGTCATTTTTTGGCTGTGACATTTAAAGTGTCATTTCCACTTAGGGTTTACAAAATTCTAACTTTTAGGCATCCTTTCGTACTATATTTCACGTCCCCAACAGTTAAAACTTCTTGAATTGTTTAAAGATGTTTATACGAAAATCATCATGTTTCATAGGCTTTCTTTACCAAGCAGCACAGCTATTCTGAGGATTGCTACCGAAGAAGTGCTGTCTGTGCAAACACATTTTATTTAGCCAGATTCGGTTTTTAAAAGGCTTGCTTTTTTTTTTAATTTAATTTGGGGTTATGTTCCTTAATGGACTAATCTTATAGATACTTTCCATTAAGATTATTTACCTTACCAGCAAAGCTTAGTATTGTGAACAAGCCGTATTCACTTCCTTAGCAGGTTTGTTTTGCTTTTTAAGTCAGGGGAATTATAGCAGGCTATAAAACAAGAATAGCAAGGGATACATGGAGCCATCTACCCTTGCAAGGAATATGCCTTGTTCCGTATACGAAAATGCTGTTCTGAGGGGCAGCCAGAAGCTCTCTTCAGGACCTGCTGTGTTGTCCATACAGGCAGTGTGCCTGCAAAAATTGGCCTGTGCAAAGCCAAACGGTGCCGTCCAGGCTGTGCAAGCCCTGCAACTCCCAGAGCATCTAGTGCGTGACTGTGTCATCACGTGCTCCCGGCCAGGTAGTCCGTGAGGCAGCTGTGTGGAGAGGCGATGGGAGAAAGGAGGATTATAGCACTTTCCTAGTCATTTGTACTTAGAGAATGATGTAGACATAGCCACTGGTGTCCACAAAGGGTTATGAGACCAAAATATGGAGTATGGTTTACATCATGTGATGCCCAGAGGAGTATATCAGAAAACAAGGAGCTTACCCTAGGGCTGTGGTCCCACAGTCTACTTCAACAGATACAGCTACAGGCTGCTGCCAGAAGGGACATTCCCACGTTCTCTCCTTGCCCCTGGGCCGCCACTCGCATCCATTTGATCATGAAATGAACCAGATCAGGAACAAATTCAGCTGAAAACTGAAGCAACCAGAAAATAAGTGATAAATGTTCAGCTTCATTGGTTTCCTGATCTGCTATGAATGCTGGTGCAGAAGCACAGGTCTTCTCATTCCAGCTGTAGCTCACACATTACATTGGCCTAGTGATCAAAACTCCACCCACCCTGAGTTCAAGGTGTCCTGAATTGCTGCGTCGCCATACCTGCATCTGATCTACCGCATCTGGCTCACATCTGCAGAAGGGTGGACAACTTTTCAAAGGGGTCAGTCAGGTGCTGGCACTGACACCAGAGAGGGCTTTGAATGTCCCAGGTACGGCATGTGGTGGGGAGCAGGAGTGCCCTTTTCAGCCCATCTGTCTTATGAAACCTCCCTGTTAGGGGGCAAATCTAGCCCTAGCCCTAGCCCTAGCCCATTGCAGATACAGATTCCTGCTAGTGTTTTGCAGTGAGGTGAGGTATTAACTGGGTTGTTGGCTTCACTTACACCTATTTGTGCAAATCCTGGAATGAGAAAAAATTCCAGTGTGCCCTTTGGCACTTCCATGGGTGATCAGGCAGGACCAGATGGGTCACGGGTGCCACGTGGGGCTTTCCTCGGCACGGCTACACGCGCCCTGTGTTCAGAGTCTGCCACTGCATGGTAACACTAATGTGTTTGAGAGGGAACAGTTGAGCATGCCTGCTCCCTCTGCATCATTTAACAGTCTTCCGATGATTGTGATGTCCAGTACGTAGCTGGACTTTAGAACAATTTAAATCAAATACGTAACATCTTATGAAATGATACTGTAGTTACAGATTCCCAAATTAGAAGTAGATGAGTGTAGTATTTTTAAATATGAATAAAGCTTACGCAATAGTGCTGGATAACAACTTTTAAATTATTTAATTGGTGCTTAATTTTTTTTCTTTTCCTTAAAGTTTAGGTTAATTATGCTTCTTGCAAAATAGAAGCAAAAATTTTTATATTTTAAGTGCATTGTTAGCATGCTTTGTTAGATTCCAATAAAGCTTTATTTAATTTGACACACTGTAGTACTCAGGGACCTTTATCTGCATCCATTATATGAATTTTTGTCAAAATAATTTCCTCTGCCACTATATTACCAATATTTAATAATGCATTCTGTTCGGTTTTCATTTTAATTAAATTAAATTGCAGCAGGTTGAAGTCCTGGAACTCAGGAATATAACCATCTGCTTTTGGTTTTATAAATACTATAAACATCTTTATTTTTCTTCAGGGTTATTGACAGCAATGATCACATAACCAGATACAGAAAAGACGACTTTCTGAGCATATTTTCACACACAAGTGGTTCTGTTTAAATTTGTTGGAGAAATGTTTGCTGGTGTTTGTCTAGTCCCCAAGTCCCTAACAAGAGGCCATTTTCTCTTCTCAGAGTAACAACTGAGATGATAAAGTAACATTTTTTTGTTCTGAATCAAAAAACATCCTGTGGATGTTGACACACAAAACCTTGGTGGTAAAGTCTATGTCCCCTTGTAATTTGACATAGGAAAAGGAAGGATTTCAGTAGAAACCTCAATAAACGCTCCTGTAGAACTTGCATCGTTCACAGCAGCATGAAGTGGTGTGCAAGGACTAACCCTTCTGGGTGTGAATATAAGCCAGCGCTCAAGGAGACTGGTCTTACGTCTTCTCTCTTTATTACTCTACTTGGTACTTTGGCTGAGTTCATTACATTCGTTGTTCAAAGAAGTAAGATGCTGCTAAGTACAAATATTTCAGGAGAGGTTGAAGTAGAGGTGACTGTCCTGTTTAATCATGTCTTTTATTTCTTACCTGTATTTTGGCAACAGCCCTTAAACTGCGATGTGCTGGCACTACTAACAAATTATTGTTCATTCTTCTAAATAGTTGTATGAAAAGAATAGATCTTTGGTACAGATGATTTCAGTAAATCTTCTGAAATCCATTTTGAGACTGCAAAGAACTGTACTTGCTGGCTTTTAGTGTCCAAAAAACAGTCACTACAGTTCTGCTTCATGCAATGAAATCTCAGTCACCTCAAAAAAGGGCTATAAATTAATTTGACCAGAAAATAACGCCCCACAACGAGGGTAAGCTGACTGAGATTGTCATTTCGCTTCCAAAATTACGTTTTGCAAAACCTGCTAGTAGCACAATACTTATTTTTCAAGTGGCACTGCAGTCATTTGGTTGACTGTACAATTGTTGTGCTTCGCCTTGATTACCTGGCGTGCAAAATGATTGATAGGGAATTTTCACGGGTGGTACATCAGTACCTCCAGCTAAATGTTTCAGGAGACCGTGCGTTAAGATTACGCAGATGTTACTTTTTGGAGCGTAGACTTCTTTCATAAATATGTGTAAGAGTACATAGAAACATGGTTGTAGACACACATGAAGTGAGCGTATGTCCACGTGTCTCTCACTGATGAGAAGGGACAAAAGGGCAGCTATGCGCAATAGCTGTGAGAGCAGGGAACGGTGAACTTTTTTGCGAAAGTGGATGATAACCTCTAGAGGATATTTGGCAGCTCAGAAAGATCAGCTATAGGCAGGGAATAGCAGACACTTTACAGTGTTAGCTACAGTGCTGGTAAACATGCCGCTGTGGATCCATTGGCGCAGGGTCTCAGATGGTGTAAATCGTTACCCCTCCCTTGACCCAGCTATCAGCGTGGTACCTTATAGCAGCTGACGAACTGTCCCCTGGGTCTGTAATGGTTCACTGAGCAAGGCTGAGTGACTTTGTTATAGGTCTTTACTCTTTTCAAGTATACACTTCTGACCCAGGATTGAATGTGTTAAGTGCACAAACGGAGTAAAGATGCTAATGTGTAGGTGGCGAGTGTGAGGTTGCTTCATAGGAAAAATCCACCCTTTATCTTCTCTCTGCATTAACACCTAGGGAATAGCGTGTTCGGTTACTGAACCTTGGTGGCTTGGCCCAGCACAGGATGTGGCTGTTCTGGAAGAAGCAGCTCCATGCCCACAGTTGGGCACTCAGCCCAAGGAGTTGCCCAGAAGCATTGCTGATCCTGTAACCGAAAAATTGGACAGAGCAGCTGCTGGACCCTCAGACTGCAAGCTATAATGTTTGCAACATACAATATTTACAGTACTTAAGGAGACGTGATTTTTACACGTCAGAGTTTAGCTGCAAAAACAGGTTCTTTCTGCTAAAATGATGAAGCAGCTCTAAGTGAAGTCGCTGTAAGGAGCAGCTTTCAGTTTGCCATAAAACATTTATCTTACAAACAGCAATGCTCCCTGCTATAGCTGGTCAAAATATTTTGACTGCATCCAGTAATGGAATTTAGATGGTATTAAAACTATTTATGGTTGAAGTAAAATATACCTAAAGCTGCTTACTTAGAAAAAGTGAGAAGAAAACATTGAAACTGTCAGAAAACTGTGGGTGTAAATTTTTTTCTTTGTTTTGTATATTAAAATATTTTTAAAGACATTTTTACTTTGGAAAGGCTGAATTATCTCAATATTTCCTAGATAAATTTTGGAATTTGGTGTCAAAATAACATTCTTCCTTTATGAATGAGTTGCACTGAAATCTGAAAAGGTTAACTAGAGGAGATAAATAACTTTAAAAGAAAAAGTTGATATATTAGAGATACCAAAATTAAATTTTGAAGAGGTTTTTTTTTTATTATTATTTTACTGAAGTACTAAAAGGAAGGGTTTTTTTGCTCAAACGCACCCCCAAAAACCACCACCCTTAGGGAAATTCAAGATTTTCAGCAGGTATTTTGGCCAGCTGTAGAGGGGAGCCATGTGATGTGCAAGCCTGTTAAGATAAGAGTTTAATTCTAGAAATTTTCAGCAATCCATTTCTGCCTTAGTACAGTTTTTACAATTAGCAAACAAATTAAAACCAGGTTGTTTTAACATGAATTTTTTTCTATTTAAGCTGTTAGTTAGGTAATTAGCAGAAATGCAATAAACAATCAAGTCAGGAGTCACTGGAGGAGATTTATACTCTTAAGAAATCCATAACAGATACAACAGAAATTTTTCTGCTTTGAAACAGTAGTAACTATAGCTGTAATAACATACTAATCTCTTAAAACCCTTTTTAAAAAAAATACCATTCAACAATAGCAATCAGGCAGAGGAAAATTAGTGGCAGTATTACTTGACAGATGAATATCAAAACCTGGAATGAAAAATTACCTAGTAGCTCACAGAGGAAAAGGTAGACTGATAGAGCTTTAATTATTTGTTTGCAGTGTCGGTGGGATATGAATATGAAACATGTCCTGATTTTATTCTGTGGGAGAAGAGAACAGTAATCCTTCAAGGCTTTGAAATGGATGCTTCAAATCTGGGAGGCTGGTCTATAAACAAACACCATGTATTAAATCCACAGAGTGGTAAGTCCTTCCTTTATTAACTGGCCGTGCAGAAGAACAACACAAATTTTAAAGGAATTAATTGTTCAGATTTTAAGCGTTACGCTTCCTAATGTGTAATCCTTCTTGTTTGAACGTGCACCCTCATTTATCGAGACCTGAACTGTAAATGCCATCTGAAAGGATATTTTTAATGTTCTGGCTCCCAGGTATTAAACACTAATATCACTAACTCTTGTGATCGCTAACACATTCTGGTCATTTGGATGGAAAAAGGGCATACTAATTCAGGTTTGTTCTCACACTGTTGGTATAGAAGTACAACCTTGTAGGTCAGGTTATACTGTGTTGTATTCTCAGTGAAGTGTCCACGCCCCTAAGTCATCCTATGACTAGCATCAGTGAGTAGCATCACAGCACCAGGGAGACGAACCCTGCAGGAAGACAGACTGGCCGAGTGAGAGGTGGCATTTCCAAAACCAGGCTACCAGTCCGGTATGCAGATGCTTTTGTGGCTGCCCACCCTGTGGAGAAGCACAGGAAGTTACTCTTTAGGACAAGCAGTCCAGCACCTTTCAAAGCATTAGGGGGAAAAGAAAAAAAAAAAACTGTAAATGCTTTTGGTGTCCTAACATTAACCCTGCATAGAGAGTCTTCAAGCATGGAGACTTGAATCTGTTTTCTCATTGCTTTGCTTTATTCCTGGGGGTTCTTCTTTTCCTCCCTTATCATGTATAATCAGGAATTAGTGGGATTAAATTATTAAAACAATACTTGTAGATACATTATGGTAACTAGGAAAATAGAGTTTTGCCAAATAACAGATATCTCACTGTCCGGGGGAAGAGAAACTTGGGGTCAGATTTCAGCACTTCTAACTCAGCAGAGTACTGGATTCAGTAACAGTTCTCTCACTTTGCTCCAGCTCAGAGTCTGTCCACTAAAATCTATTTCCATCTGCAAACTTCTGTTAATGAAGATTCATGCACAGATGTATGGCTGTCAGGTTTTTACAAGTTCTGTTGTTGAGTGCGCAGCTACAGTATAAATTTTCCAAATACAAAAGGTCAGATTTAGTTTGTAAATTATCTGGATTTCTGTTTTGATTTAAAATAGTTTGACATTTTAAACAGCGGTTCTTTCATACCCTGTCTTATTGGTTTGTATAGATTGTCTCTTTTAAATGCCAGCTATTGACATTTAACACAAAGAGAAATCTGACCTCAGTCAGCTCAGCCCCCAGCTGTGAGCCCCATAGTCTAGTCCTTAGTGCCAATTTACCACTTGCATAGTTTAATTTCAAGACTAAATTGCTGGCAGTAACTCCAATTTATATGACTATCTGCTAACTGCAGTGGTTACTACTATAATTCACCCCATGCACAGGCACTAACATGTTCTGAGATTTTGTAAAGTATACAATTATAATTGGAGTGGGGCTAAATCATTGCTTTCCTGAGCACGGGGTATATGGTGACAAATTGCTTCCTGGCCCCGTCTCAGCTGTGAACGCCAGAGAGCACTGACCCGTCAGCCACACACCACCGCCTCCGAAATCGTCCAGGCCGTGCCCGCTACCCCAACCCAATGACAAGGATGGGGAATGCGCAGCTTCTGATACCTGCTCCTCTTCCTCGCGTGTTCCCGCTGTGCTGGGCATGATCAAGGCTGAAGTGAGGGGGAAGCTGCTGAACGTCTTTATCCATTTCTTAGAGAGACACAGTCTGGGGAGAGGAGGGCGTAAGCATGTCTGACTTGAAATCGGGGGGCTCTTCTCTTTGCAGTTTGCATGGGAGGGCATCTCCAGTGAGGGTGACAAAGCCCAGCCAGAGCTCAGTGATATCTCAGATGTTCCTTGTGATTATAATGGGCTTTGAGTGTGCACACCTGGCTCCTATAGAGGAAGGAGAGAAGCACTTAGGAGCAGAAAAAGAATTACTATACCATAGCTAGTGTGCAGCTAACAGAGCAGCCTGTAGGCTGGTATTAAAGCGACAAAACCAAATAATGAACTGTGCTAACCAAAAGGATAAAAATAACAAGTGTGCTTCTGGTCTTATCTAGAAACTAGTGAACTGCTCTTGCATTTCAGATATATAAAATGTGCTTTAAATAAGGACAAGAATGTGATTCAAACTTAGAATTATACATTTCAGACTTCTCTCCGTGCCACCGTGAGTGAAATGAAAAGCATGAGTAGCCTTCTTGAGTATGAATGTATTGAGATTTTTCACTTAATTAAAGCATTCCCTCTGTATGTATGAGGAGCTGCTCTTTTTAGAAGCATGAAACTTGCACCTGTTTTTGAAACACTGTCTCTGGATTAACTACAGAGATAGCATTGGAATATAACATAAATGTCTTTCTGAAAATTCTCTGTTGCAAATTACAATTTTGTTTTCAAACTAAAGCTAGAAGCACTTTGCTTCATTAGTTAACTCATCCCAAAGAGCTTGCATCTAACTTCAGCCACTAAGCCTTGTCTCCCAGCAGCTCTGCTGCTGTGCGCGGCGTTCCTGCTCAGAGACAGGGTGGATATGCTTACCTCCCTCCCCATAAAGGCTATTCAGTTTAGAGATGTTACAAAAGAAACTAAGTACAACGGAGAAGTTGTAAAAATAAATAGATGCAATTTTACAGAATTGCACTTCATAGCACAGTCTAAGCTGCGGAGGTACAAGTATTAACATGCAGAAACCACAGCAAGTAAAAACTGTGTTCTATTGCCAGATAAGTATCTTTAAAAAGAGAAAGAGAAAAAAAAGATGTCTGATTCCAGCAGCACAGATGTGAACTAACATATATTGTTCCAATGCGGCTGTCACTGAAAACTCAAGCTGTTGAACGTATATGGTTTTGCATCAGTATGACTGTTAGGTTAACAAAGGATCGCATCCTCTTCTCAGCTATACTAAACTGTTCCTTTCCCATTTTTCCCACCCTTCCGTTTTAGAGTTTTGATCACTACTAATTTGTGACATGATTATAGAGTTTAATGTTTTGTAACACAAAGGTTTTGGTCAGTTTTAGAAGGTCTTCAGGGCATTTCTCATAATCAAGAAGAGAACACATACCATAAATACTGCTTCCTGTATAGAGTCCTTTAAAGACACCTATATCTCATGAATACAAATGAATGTGCTATTAACCGATTTTTCAGAGTATTCTTTGAATTAGATTTTTCTTCTGATGGGCAAGTGTATTGATTCCATTTTTATTTATCTGGGGGAAGGAGGAGTAATTTTACAGACACTTTATGCTTTACGGTAATTTCAGCCCCAGTGCAACACAGCACCGACTAAAATTAAAGCAGCAGCTCAAAAGCCTGAAATTAAGCACATGCTTATATTTATTGACAGCAAAACATATTCTCCAGAGCCCTAATTATTTACTGGCATTTGTATGAGGCAGTTGAAAGATTACCTTTACACTGTTAATTTCCGACAAAGGGCAGCGTCTTCATTTAGCAGTATTTTTATCCAGTGCATAAGGGAGGATATTGCCATGAATTTTACTGGCCTATTTCCAAGATGCTTTTCTTAAGCTAACGTTCAAACAAATATATGTATTCTGTCCTCTGTGGTTCAGAAATAAATTTTTTAAATTATAATTCCCTTCAGAATATCTATGGCAACACTCAGTAATTCCCAAGGAGAATTTTAGCTTCAGACTTACCTGAAAGCCACTAGTTTAACAAAAGTTGGTAGAGGCAGTACATAAATACATTTGCCGTACTTTGGGAAAACTCGGACATGCCTCAACATGTACTTCCTCCAGTATCTAGAATATGCTTATTTCCCAGTGTAAGAGTCCTCCAGAAAGTATATTCCCTTGTGTTTATTCCTTTACTTGTGCCACTTTTCTGATGAAGTACTGGGCTTTCCAAGGGAAATAAGAGATTTTGGACTGTGGTCTATAAGAATACCTATCTTCCATTCAGAAATAGCCAAAACCTTACAATAACATGTCATTTTAAAGGCATTTCTTAACTATATTATCACATTGTTATTTAAAATAAACACTACAGCTATCAGCTTGATAAAATACACATTTGTACTGGTTCTGGTATCACCAACCTAGTAATTGTTGACTTTCAACAATATATGCTGCAGAGCAGTGCTAAAATACTGACACACTGGAAAGTTGTTTTAAACTTTATGGCAGAAGCGAATATATTCTTGCTGGTAAGAAATTCTTTCATGCCTCAGAATTACTCCTTGACTCTTAACTTGGCTTTGCTGCTCTTGGCACCATTTGTATATACCATGAAGGACTCGCACTTAAATTTGAATACTGATTTTGTACTGCCACTCAGTGCTCTTTTGTGAAAAATGCATAGTAGTCCTGCTATTAATCTCCTTTAATTAAATATTCAAACGGCCTAAGAAAGTCCTCTGCTACCTAATGAAAATTTATGAATAAAATGAATATTAAAGTAGTAATCCCCAAGAAATCAGATAGCACTGCAATTAACAGTCAATTTGTTAGAGCATTAACCAACCATGAGTTCTCCTCATGATGTTGGCTTTTAAAATAGCCACTAACCACTAATTGACAAAATGGTGATGGGGAAGCTTGGGACTGAACAAAATTGGAAGAGATTAGCGGAATCCTGTGACAGTTTTTAAAAGATCTGTTGTTGGTTGCTGGTTTGGTAATCTGATTTTCTGGAGGACTGAATAATCCAAAACTGCGGAATAGTTTAAATGCTATATATTTGCTTTTTTTGTCTTTGTTTTCTGCCCCCCCGTCCTTAGGAATCGTACACAAAGGAAATGGTGAAAACATGTTCATTTCCCAGCAGCCGCCAGTCATCTCAACCGTGATGGGCAACGGACACCAGAGAAGTGTCTCTTGCTCCAACTGCAATGGTCTTGCGCTCAACAGCAAGCTCTTTGCCCCGGTTGCTCTCGCTTCTGGGCCTGATGGTAGCGTGTATATTGGTGACTTCAATTTTGTCAGACGGATCTTTCCCTCTGGAAACTCAATTGGCATATTAGAATTAAGGTAAAAAAAAAAATTAGCTTTCTCTGACTAGTGTTCATTACCCTGGCTGTGATATGCCTGTGAAAACTACGGTGAGCCTTTTTTCACTTATAACTTAAAAAACAGCCACATTTAGTTGCCTTGTGAGCATGTCTCATCGACTGTTGGACAAACTCATCAGAAAACTTACACTTACTTTAAAGTCATCAGTTAAAAAGGGCATCTTCAATGGCCTTTGGAACAGGTTTTGCATAATGAATTTCTACAGGGTGCAGAATTAATAGAGCTAATTTTTGTTCCTGTGAGATTTCTCATACTTCTTCCTCAAAAAAGTTAAAATACTCCATGAAGTATATTTTTGAAGAAAACTCATAATTCAATAGCAAACATGCAGTATCATGTCGGGTCACAGCATTATGGCTGAAGATAGTCTTACCATGTTTAAAATTAATAAATTAAATTGTTCCTCATCTGTAACAGAGGATATGACTGAGTTTAAGCAGACAAGAGCAAACCTGGCATTGCAGGCTGGGCCTTGTGCCACTGTTAACAACTCCCCTGGAATTAGGACTCCAGCTTCCCACTCCCTTTGAGGGCCAGAGCGGAAGGCAGGAAAGGTTTTGGACACAGATACACTACATTTCTCTTACTTAACACCCATGAATCTCCAACTAGCTAGCATTGCTGGTGATGGTGGTGTGTGCTGGTGGTTCACAATTGACTTGACAACGTGCAGGCAGTGGAAGGGAAGCAGTCTGAGAGAAAGAAAGAATACTGAGTAACAGGATAAACAATGTTTTGTTATTGGGATACAGCTCTGTGAGCAGTCAGGCAAAGAATACGGTGTTGTTGAGGACTAACATTTCTTGTCTTTTTCTTTTTTTTTTTTAAACCTGAACTTACCTGTCTTACTAGGAATAGAGACACAAGACACAGGTAAGTAAAATGCAGTAACAGTCATATGTGAACCATGTTCGAGGAAACAGTCTTACAAAAGTCCTTTAGAAGTCTGAATATAGAGAAACTCTCTGAATTTAATAAATGCGTTAATCAAATTCACCATTGTTTATAGTAAAGAAGGTTTGATTTGTTCCCTTTGAAGGGATGAAGTGTCCCTCTAAAAATCAGCAGAGGAGAGGTTTAGACCCAAAAGCTGCAAAGGCATTTCATAGCTGTCATATTCAGTTCACATGATGTGTGAATGATCATAGATACAGCCAGCCAAGGAAACTGGAGTTTTAGCAACAAAGAAATAATAAAAAAAGGCTTTAGAGTCACACAAAGAGGACTGTGCTTTAGGGGTTCTAGCATACTATGAACTTCAAAAGGTACCACAGAGGGTGCACAGCAGGCCCCAGAACTGAAGACACTGTCACAGCTCAGTCCTTGCTTCTCCAGCTAAAGCAAAAGCAAGTGGCTTCCCCCGTTTCCAGTTAGCATTTTGGCATTGCAATGTAGGGATTTCTTTAAAAGAATGAACGACATACATTAGGCTTCTGCAACAGACGGTGAGGGACTTGGTTTTAACAGTCCAGCTGCAGAAATGATGTTGCAGGCTAGGAAGAGGTAGCAAGGCACGAAGGCATTCCATATCCTTAGAAACAAATTTCTTAGCATTTCAGTACTTAAGTGAGACAAATAAACCAGCACTAGTACAACCTAAGCTGATAACTTCATGGCATGGTAGGAAGTGGAGTGTGGACTGAATGTGTGTTTGCAGGGTGAGAGTGCTGGTTGGAATTACTCACTTTAGTCACAAGAATGGTATTGAATACTATGGATTATTTGCCAGCCTACTTACAGATGGTTTCACATCTCATATTTTACAATGAAAACTTAAAAAGAAAGAATAATTCCTAGTTGGTATGTGCAAGGTTCCATTTTTCAGCTGAAGGATTGTTTCCCATTTGCCTTCATGCTAAACTGACCAGTATCTTTGTAGAAGCAAATTGAACTTATTTGCTCTGTAATGCATTCAGAACATGAATCGGGTTTTAAATTCAGGGATTTCTTTTGTAAAGTAGAATTTTTTTTAATACCTGCCCATTAGTACTAGTTTCTTGAGATGAATTTAAACCCTAATTAAATCAAGTTATCACAATACTCAAGTACCCCAGCGCTATTAATTGCAGTAATAATTCCCTCTGTCAGTATTCTGTCCAAGTGAAATATGTGGAAAATTGGAGGAAATCACTTGAAGTAAATGTAGTCTTTGAGGTTATGGGGGAGTACTCAGCAGTCCCACTGTATGCCATTCTCTTGAGGCCGTAAAGGCCATAGTCATGGTGGAAATTTCCAGGATGCTCAAAGAAACACGTGGAAGCAACAGCTAAAAGGTGTCAGAAGCTCATGACAGTCCAAGCAGGAAAAGGCCTCAAAATCCGGTTCCTTAACACAACTTCTAGTCTCCAAAAGAGCAGGGAAAAAGGGTTCTTTCTACCTGGACAAAGAAAATACTGTGTAAAAAGGGATAAAGTCTAGAGACCAGTAAACAGAGAAAGCCACTGATCTTATTTTTGACTGTTTAAAAGCAACTTATCCCATTTGTTTTTCTTGTCATCAAGATTTTAATAATTGGTAAAAATGGAAACTACAGGGCAAAATTTTGCTACAGGATAGTACTAACTTGTTCCAGAAAGATTAATTGTAAATCCTAGTCTACTTAATATAGTTTTTAATAGGCTAATTTTAATAAACTCAGATTTAGATTTGATTGCAAACTTCTGCAGAGATAGCAAGTATTTGATTTTGTTCCATTTTTTACTAAGAGGCTTTAAATTTAAACATTTTATTATGCAAGGCTTTAAGCATAAACATCAAGAGTTTTCTAACAGCCGGTCTATTAAATGTAATGCCAAGGATGACAGAAAATGTGTCTACAAGGAGTGTATATAATGACCCCTGGTTCTTTGCAGTTTCTGCATGATGAACAATTAGTTTATTTAACATCTAGAATTCTTGCAACTTTTTCCACAGAAGTATTTTATTTAAAAAGTCATCTTTTGGCTGGCTAGTCTCTTCTGAGCTCACTCCAGAGAGCACAAATGATTCTTAATGATTTCCCCCTTCTGTCTTTTATAGATGTTTATGACTAGAGGTCAGCTTTAAGCTAGTCTAGCTTGTGGCCCAATCCTCAGAGATGCTGAGCAGTTTCTGTCCCTTTTTGGATGGAGAATGAGAACCAAGAGAAATAGGCCCAAGCTCCATCACATTTATCATGGTACAGCATTAGCCTTGTCACTTATAAATGGAAATAAGATTTCAGCTGATCAACTGTTAGAAGTTTCTTTTCTCAGTAGACTGCTAAAATAAAAGGTATTGGCAAGTAATTTTTACGTTGTTTTGCAACATTGCTCAGTAAGGTAGAACTGTCTAATAGATGATTAATAAAGCTTAGTATCTGCCTCAGCCAAGCAAAACCTTCGTATTTAAAGAGGCTCCATCAACCTGAAATCAAATCTGTAAAATATCTCAGACATTACATATCTGTCCTGGAACTTCTGCAAGTTCTTCAGTTCTATTTTCATCTAGATTCTTCCTTTCCTGGTTTGTTGTGGCATGAAAACCTGGCCCTGCAGAAGGAGCTGTACACTGAGCGTTGTCAAACCCGCCACAAACAGAACTGACAAAGCCGAGAGGAGTAACTCATTTCCTAACTTTGTTGCAGCGATCTTAAGTGTTAGTTAATTGTACCGATGTTAATGAAACATCTCTAACAAAAAAAAAAAAGAAATTTGGCAATCTTTTTAATCTGCAGAGCAGATAGGAAAGTCCCATGTAGAGCTACAGGGGACATGGGCAGGTCGGTGTCTTGCCCAGCTGCCTCTCAGAAATCTCCTCCTCCCCTGGAGAAGCATGGCAGTAGTAAAAATACTGTCTGGGCACCAAAACTCTGCCAGGCGTTAGCCACCACTCTGCCTGTCTCCCATCGTTTCAGTAACCATGTGGTTTAAAGGCTCCACACCTATCTGGATTTTGATTTTATTTTATAATCAGGACTACGCTTCAGTCTCACCAGGCTCAGGACACTGGCGTGGTGTGCCATGTGCTTAGACAATTTCCTCAACCTGGAAATTAACTTCCCAGTCAAAAAGAAACAAAAAGACTTACTGGTTAATAAGATGCAGCCCAGTTCTCTGATTAGAATTTATGATCCTCACCATTTAATTAACATATGTAAATATTTTTTTAAATAACATTTTATAATCTCAATAAGGCACTTCAGTGCATGAATTATGGTGCATTAATTCATGCCTAGTTGCACTGACAGTACTTGGCCCTCTGCCTTGCTCCTGACAATACAGTCGGCATGAATTAAGGCACCATATTTCACACCTTCATATTTCCTAAGGTTTAGAAACAGATAAAAATAACCAAGAGTGGGTATTTGTGCCCAGGCAGAACAGTCTGTGATTCAGTTTGCTGCAAGTTGTAGATTTGTTTTCAGTGCCAAGAGTACTAGGACTTAGCAGGTATAGAAAAATGACCTTGCTTTTGCTAGTAAGAATTACAACTAAGCTGAAATCACTCCAGTTAGCTTTATATTGGGTAGTTTGGTTCTAACGGACAGACTAACTCCACCAATACCAGTCTCTGCATAAGCTCACTTACCTGGTACACAGCTGGCTGGTCAGGCTCTGCAGCTAGTACTGGTCTGGCTCTACAGCTAGTACTGGTCCCTTCCTTCTCAGCAGTGGTGCTTGTGTGAGCTACATTCAAGCTGGTCTCACTTATGCCTCTCATCTCTAAATCATTGAACAGATGTCTTCAGAAACATCATGCTACCATGAACAGAGATTAAAAACAATTTAACTTTGATGCTCTTCTCTTCTGTTTTAGTACAAGCCCTGCACATAAATATTACCTGGCCGTTGATCCAGTGTCAGAATCCCTTTACTTGTCAGATACGAACACCAGAAAAGTCTACAAAGCAAAATCTCTCATTGAAACAAAGGATCTGGCCAAAAATGCAGATGTGGTGGCAGGAACAGGTGATCAATGCCTCCCATTTGACCAGAGTCACTGTGGAGATGGTGGAAAGGCATCCGAGGCATCTCTCAACAGTCCAAGAGGTGAGAAAAGAGCATATCTGAAGTATTTGGTTTTGGTCATCTGTCGTTTCCTTCCAGTATTCAGAAACTCAGATGCAACCGAGTCAAAAAACGGGTACACGTGGCACTTTGGGGCATGGTTTAGTAGGCATGGTGGTGTTGGGTTAATGGTTGGACTGGTGATCTTAGAGATCCTTTCTAACCTTAATGATTCCTAGTTTTTATTTTAATTAAAAATAATCCAGCCACCAAGCCAGGAAACATGAAATTATGACTCTACCCTTAATTGGTTTAGTGGTGGACTTGGTAGTGTTAGGTCAATGGTTGAAGTGGATGATCTTAAAGGTCTTTTCCAACCTGAACGATTCTATAATTCTATGAACTGCGTGTACAAAAATGGATCTGAGGTGATAATTTAACCAACTATAAGCAAGCAAAATCATTTTGTAAAGCTCACTCATCTTTTCAGTACAACCGGTCCTTTATGATGGAGTAGCATGAGCAGCAGGCTCCAGCTAGCATCCTCTGAAATACTCTTTCCTTGTGTGGCAACACTCCTATTACCTTTCTATTGCAAGGTGGCAGCATTTAATTATATTTAACTCTTAAGCAAATAATATGGTTGCAAAGTCGATTTTTTATACTTTATGCATTCAGGTGATTCTTGTAATGTTAATGGAGCTTACTCATACACATTACATCAGGGCTGTTCAAATCAGAGAGCCAGCAAAATCAGGTTTATTTGGAACTCTAGTTTGTCTTTTCTCATTACATGCACTTTGCAAAATATGAGCATTTCGCCTACTGCACGTGAAATACGCATTTTGCTGCAGCCTTCCTGTGAGAGCACGTCCTGTATTTTCACAGGGAAAACGCATGTGAAGCCTTGAATCCCCACCTGTGCCACAACTAATTCCCTTGCAGTGTGCGTTAGAACTGTGATAAAGTCTCTGGATTTGGTGCTCTAAAGCAACCGATCACCCTCAACTCCCACTGAAATCCCTGGAACAAAGGGTACCCAGCAGCTCCCGTGGCAGAGCCCTGAGTGGGCTTTTAGCATGCTTCCCCTGTAGCACAGAGCTAGTCATTAGGAGGGAGCGGTAAGGAAGGGGTTTGATTATTTTTGTGAGCTAATAAAGGAAGGCTGTATATCAGTAGGAAATTAGAATGTATATCCAGGCAGAAACATCTCTTAAGACAAGCAAATAATCCTGTTTTAAGGCTTAGCAAGAGACACATTGTAAGTGACTTTAACATGCCTTTAATGATAGAAGGTAAGCGTGAGGTAAGTACAATAAATGTTAATCTTCAGGCAGCTAATTAATGCAATGAATCAATTCTAAAAATAGTAGAAAAGAACGGCTTTCAGATCCTTTAGCAGGAAAATGATCAATGTTTTATTGCTGATTACAATTGATTATATCTAATTACAATACAATTAGTTGTTCCATCTTATTTTCTTACTGGCGAAGTATGTTGGTGAAAATTTGTAATACCCTATTTACTTTAAAAATACCCATGCGTAGCTGGCTTCCTCAACAGAAGGTTCTAGTCATAAAGAAATCAAGAGGAATAAAGTACAATTCATGAGTTCTGGGGCAGCCAGCAAATACTAAAAAAATTAACTGTTAGCAGACAATGGCTCATATACTGGCAAATTCAGGTAATGGCTCCCAGCTGCTTTTGATTTATGCATCTACTCTAAATTACATCAGTTTGAAATTGTCAGGTTTGTTTTGTCTGAGGTTTTGGATTTTCATCTCAAGGAACTGTGGACATTCCTTTTTTGTAAAGGGCCTAGCAAAGTGCAGCATCAACCTGTAGTCACCAGCGCAGTATGAACGCTTAGCTGTGCACTGTCATAATGGCCTTGGTTTCCTCTTAACGGTAAGAGGTTGAATAACCTTGGGAAGTAATAAGAAGCACTTGGCCTGGTACCTATAGATCTATTATTTATTAAGAAACCTAGAAGTCTCACATATTTAAATACAGTTTTAGAGATCCTTTTGGATCACTTATTTTGCTTGTTATTGGAATAACTGTCAAGTCAGAAGATGTCACAATTCTACGGAAACAATATTCAAACAGTCTACACAAATATTTTTTTCTAGGAGGATCTGCTTTCCACAACTTTTACTTTGCAGGTAACAAACATGCATACCTTTGTTCAGTCTGTTCCCACTTCTGTGTGAAGGACTGGAGGTGGGGCTTAGTGAACGTTAATCTTGCACTATTGTATGTTGAGCTGACTTTGAAAGATGCTTTTAAACATGCATGGGTGATGTAGTTGAAATTTGAACTTCAATATATTATTTTTACTGCAACTTTCTTTAATTCTGTAGAGATTTCAGACTAATGAGTCATGTAATAGATGACCAAGTACTTAAGCAGAATGTGAAATGATACAAGGTGGGGACATAAAATAAGATCTGTGACAAGCTGAACACATTTATTACACAAGAAGATATTGAAAATGAAGAAGTAACTACACAAGATATTAATCATTGACTGAAATTCCAATCACTTGAACTTTACCAAGTAACAGATTTTAATTTTGGGGTGGGGAATTCTCTTTGGTGGGTTTGGGGTTTTTTTTAATAAAAAGTATTTATGGCACATCTAGTTACCAACACTATCATTTAAACAATCTGGATTAGTGTTTATAATAAGTCACTAAGGGATAGCATCCTGGTTTTAACTAGATTAGTCACTGAGTATTGAAGCAGTAAGAAGCACTAAAATTAATAGAAATACCTGGGAGTTTTCTACTTAGCACTGCAAAGCCAATGCCTGGATCAAAGGCATTAAACACTTACCTACCCAGCCCTTCTGAAATCAGTGGGCTTTAGACATGTAAATAGATTTGACTTTCCAAGCTTAATTGACAGAGGCAGTGAGAGGCTGAGACAATCAATCAAGTTACCACATTTTTGCTGAGCTACAGCATCTCCCAGTCAGTATACTAAGAAAAGTGTCTTAGGTTAACATCTGATTTCAATTACCTTGTATGTGACAGCCTTAGAGCATTCAGGACAGCTGTGGTGGAAGTGCAAACTAAGTAACTTTTGTGAAAACAGTAAGTCCTCCAATGACTAAACCTTAAGCATCAGAAGTGATTTACTGCATTTGGAAGCCCAAGCACTAAATCCAAAGATTTGAGCATCTAAGGTCCTGCAGTGTCTGCTTTTTGACTCCTGAGTCCAGACCAGACTAGAACTAGCGGATAGGTGCACACACTGTCTGTGCAAGCTATGTGTACACTCAGTGCCTCAAGAAATTAAGAACTGCACACTGAGTACAGAGTACTTGAATGCAGTGACCTCACTACAGATGCAGTGACCTCAAAGTAAGCACCAGGGAAATGCAGAAGATTGTAGTAAGTTCTAAATCCCATGCATAAAAATAGCTTATACACAGCTGTAGCAAAGAACCTTTTTCATTCAGACCCATGGCCATGAACTAACACCACAAATGAAAGCTTAAATTAAAAATTGGTTCTGCAGCATAGTTTTATTCATTTTGCTTGAAATGACTTTACTAAGGAAATACTAAAAAAAAAAAAATCATGGTTTTGAAAATGTGTTCGCCCCAGTAGCTTACCTCCCGAAATAATCAGTCTTGTTGCTTACCATCTGCAGCAACACTTTCTAAAGTAAATAAAGCTGTAAGAACAACTGCTCAGATTAAACCTTTACATTTGTCAAATGACAGTAGCCCATTTAGGACCTGCTCAGCTAAAAAATTCCTGTTACCTTCAGTAGGATGCAGACCAGACTCCTAACATAGCCTTCTGTGAAAACAAGACCCCCTTGTCATAGGTAACGATCAATACTATTTAGTCAGCAATCTTTGCTATTCTGTAAGTTCCTAAGACCTTTTCAGTACTTCCATACCATTCAAAGAGAAAAGTAGAATGGGGTGAGATGTTTCATTAGCAATATATAAAGTAAGAAGTAGACAAACCAAGGTGATTTGCAGCCTTGAATCATTGTCATGTATGCATCACAGAACTAGCTGAGTTTGATTCAGCAAAATTTATTCCTTATTTTTCTCTTCAGTAGTCTTAGGTACCTGTGATTTCAGAAGTCTGGGAATTTTGTAGAACATTTAAGATAAACTTTTTGGACAGCAAGTTTTCCTAAATTTCATCCAACCTTCATCTGAATGCCTAAGTTATTCACTGTTCTGCTAAGCATTGTCAGCAGTATGACCCCAGGCATCCTGTCTCAGACTGGAAGCAGGACATTTTCATACAGAGTTGGTAGTTACAAATGCTGTTTGCTCCAACTCTACTGTTACGCATCTAAAGAGAACACTCAAGTGCAAGTACTGAAGTCGTGTTCCAGCTGACAAAGAACTGCTGAATATTTTGCCGCTAGTACTGAGACAGTAATGAAGATGACAAAGATCACAAAGCAACAGACTGCAAATCACTTGAATCATATTTTGAGTGGTGTATTATGGTAACCTATAAATAACTAATTGCATAAAATTGCTTTAGTAGTTTCTAGATGGCAGCTTTAATTAAAAGCACCGGAGACATTTAGAAGTTTAGAAATGGATGGCATGTAATTTGCCCTTTTACCAACCATAAAATGGTAATTAACCAATTTGATTCACTTCTTCCTATTAAAAGTTTTATGAGAATCGCAAGTTCCTTCTAAACACGGGGTTTTTTTCAGCAGAAGGTGGCATCCTCTTTTATCAGTCCTGACCAGTAGATTTAGATGTTCTTTTTCAAATTCTTCAGAAGTTTAATTAGAAGTTTTCAATGTAAAATGCTCATTTGCAAAGCTTTTAGCTGAGCAAAAAGTGTAAAGTAGAATTTGCAGACATGGGCAACATATAGCTCTAGCTGCTGTTTATTAATGTGTTCAAAAAGTGTTTGTTCCCAAAAAGAGACTCTTAGAATGTAAGTAAGGGCTATGATGTGGGAGGGAAAAAGAAAGAAAATACCTTAATGGGGAATTCACTGTATTACTTTTAATCCATATTTTCAGCACTATAAGCTTAGCTCCATT